ACTCAATGCTAGCAAGGACTCAACATTGCTGATGAAAGAGATCTTAAAAGTGAAAGGCTGAGACAGCGAGAGAGGTGGGCAGGACAGGGAAGGGCAGGTATATACCACAAGTGTTGGTGGAAAAGAAATAATTAAGCAGCAGAAACACAAAGGCTACGTCTAGATTGGCATGATTTTCCGGAAATGCTTTTAACAGAAAAGTTTTCCGTTAAAAGCATTTGCGGAAAAGAGCATCTAGATTGGCACGGACGCTTTTCCGCAAAAGCACTTTTTGTGGAAAAGCATCCATGCCAACGTAGACGCGCTTTTGCGCAAAAAAGCCCCGATTGCCATTTGCACGATCGGGGCTGTTTTGCGCAAAACAAATCTGAGCTGTCTACACTGGCCCTTTTGCGCAAAAGGACTTTTGCCCGAACAGGAGCAGCATAGTATTTCCGCAAGAAGCACTGATTTCAGACAGTAGGAAGTCAGTGTTCTTGCGGAAATTCAAGCAGGTGCTTTTGCGGAAAAACTTGCCAGTCTAGACGCAGCCAAAGAGCTTCCAAGGCATAGAGCAGATCCGTAGCTGGTGTAACTCATTGCAGTTCTGCTCTACAGTCAGTGGCGCCATGCTGAAGTTCAACAGCTAGCCCTTTACTTTCAATGCGTGTAGAGGTGAAGATGAGGGTTTGCAGTGGGTACTTACCTAGCCTCTTATATCGCAGTATCTGAGCACTCCACAATCTCTAATGTATTTACTTTCAGAACTCCCACGTGAGATAGGGCAGGGTTGTTATCAGTGCATGTTATACAAGGGGAACTGAGGCCTAGACAGACTAATGGACTTGCCCAAGATCCTACAGGAATTCTGTAGCCGAACAGGCACTGAGCCCAAATTTCAAACCCAGACTAGTGCCCTAATCACTGGCCCAGCTCTATACAAAAATATACGACTCTCCCCTCAGCTTCAAAACTACCCTACATGGGGCTGACTTTGACGAGAGCAGATACTGGGACTTCTACTCACAACAACGGGATGGGATGGATTTTCTAAAACATAGATGGGAGCGCCGTTCATGGAACTTGTGCTTTGCAAATAATCCTCGGGTCAGATTTGCTTGTATAGAGCCTTGGGAGGAACTCAGGCTCTGGTTTCAGTACTAGTGTTCATTTAGGTACAGGGAAGGGATGTTTCTGCCTTAGAGAGATAAATAAAACACTGTGGCTTGGTCTTCACGGCAAATTCTTCTGGCAGAAAATATGCTAATAAGTCACAAACTCATTAGCATATTTTATGCCATTTATTTTTGCGCAAGGAATTTTTGCTAAAAAAGAAGCCATGTGGACGTGGGTTTTTTTGCACAAAAAGACTGTTTTGGACAAGATCCTTATGTCTTTCCAGGACAGGCATAAGGATCTTGCATGAAATGGGTTTTTTGCACAAAAAAACCTGTCCACACTACTTCTTTTTGCACAAAAGAAACGGCAGAAAATAAGCTAATGAGATCATGACTTATGCTAATGAATTCCCCATTAGCCTATTTTCTGCTGGAAGAACTCTCAGTGAAGATGAAGCCTGGTAGATTGCATTTATTTGAAGGGAAAGGTAAAATGGAAGGTGCCGTTCCCATCTCAGGAAGAGGCTTTGGAGGATTTATCTGATTCCTGTGTTTGGATTTTTGAGTTTTCTTTGAGCCAGACATATGGTTCTTAGCCTTTGCCCTACGAAGGGATTCAATGGCAGATGGTGAGGTTTGGTTTCTTGGAGGTTTTTTTTTTTTTTTTTTTTTGCTTCTTAACCTTGTTTTGCTTCACAGCCTCTGTATTTCCCAAAGAGGAGTCCTCAGGCCAGGCCAAGCAGACTTCAGAGGGGCACAGGAATGGCTAAGAGCTATTAGCTTCTTCTTGACCCTTTATGACAGAATTCTGGCAAGGCCAACTTCTTTGACATGCTGGAGGAGCTGGAACATCAGCACTCAGAGTCACACTGGGGCACATGGATTGCCAGCTGTCCTCTGGATCATTGGAGGGTGAATTTTCCTGCTTTCAACGCATTTTCCCTGGAGAATTTGGGGACTTCAATGAGGAAGGGGAGACTGAAAATTTGGATCTGGTCCTGGCTACTTGACCCAACTACAGGGATCCCATGGGAACACCGAGGGTTAGGTATACATAGTTTGCTGGACTACAGGGATTGGCTGCAAATGTAAAAGGAAAAAAATCCTATCTTAGTTGTTTGTGCTGGCCTATATAGGTGGGCTGTGCACATGGGAAGCCTGGGGAAATAACCATAGCCCAAAGTAGGAAAACCAGGCTTCCAAACACAATGTCAGTTACGTTCCAACCCATGGATGCATTTGATTGCTTGCTGATGTCCAGGCCTCCTTCCTTAGGTAACTGCTAAATAAAGAACAGATTATAAAAGAAATATCACTGAACTTATTGCAATGTTGGTGTGACTACAGCATATGTAGCTGTACTCCTGTTAGCTTTGAACTAACTCACTCAGCTAACAGCCGTGATGCTTATATCTCTTATATCAGCCATAGAGCTATAGGACCAAACCTGCACTCCTTGCTTTAGCCCTTACTTGGGCATAAATCCCATTGGAGTCAACAGGGCTGTGTCTACACTGGGCCACTTATTCCGGAAAATCAGCTGCTTTTCTGGAATAAGCTGCGAGCTGTCTACACTGGCCCTTGAATTTCCGGAAAAGCAACGATGCTCTACTGTACAAAATCAGCTGCTATTCCGGAAAAACTATTCTGCTCCCGCTCGGGCATAAGTCCTTATTCCGGAACACTGTTCCGGAAAAGGGCCAGTGTAGACAGCCCAGTAGTCTTTTCTGGAAAAAAGCCCCGATCGCGAAAATGGTGATCGGGGCTCTTTCCCGGAAAAGCGCGTCTACATTGGCCACAGATGTTTTTCCGGAAAAGCAGCCTGCCAATGTAGACGCTCTTTTTCCGGAAATACTTATAATGAAAACTATTCTGTTTTAAGCATTTCCGGAAATTCATGCCAGTGTAGACACAGCCCCCAGGTGTTTGGCCTCAGTCCAGAGCCCTGCAGGCTGGAGCTCCGGTAAGTGTGATGCTTAGACACTGTCGCAGAAACCCGTTCAGCTCTTAGAACATCGTCAGTGGATTGCGCCGAGGGACTGGGGATGAGCCCTTTATTCTCTCCTCCCATCCCAGTGACTTCACCCTATTCAGCCTTGAACTACAGCCCCTTTGCAGCAGATGTATAACACCCCCCAGGCTTGTACCAGCACAACGATTGGATCTTCCCCATGCTGTAGCGCTCAGCGTTACAAGGCTGTACAGAGTTTCCTTTCAGCAGCGGAGTCCAGCCAACGCTGCTTCTAGGCATGGGGCTAAATGACTTGATGTGCTGCAATTTACAGGAAACCTCGGGTGCACTTGCAGCCTGTGGTTCTGTGCTTCCTGCCAACAGTGAGCTAGTTCACAGGTCTCTGCTTGTGCCGGGGAAAGGCAGCACTCGGAGATCAGGGTGAGAACAGAAAGCCAGCAGACTGCTTACTGTTGATTTAAAAAACTCAACTGCATCACAGCTTGTGAACTTAGCAGAGACACGTACTTTGCCCAGAGGTTTAGCATGTTGCCCCTGCCCTTGGCAGCGCAGGAAAGACCACGGCAATCAGGGCCAGGTCTCCCCGTGGCAGTGCAACGCATGCACTGGTGCTAGGACAGTGGGCCACACCCAGCAGCCCCCCCATACCAAGAGACCAGGAATGGCATCAAACTCGGGTCTCCTGTGTGGCAGACCACTGACAGCCACCAGGGTGCTTTAGCTTGCACACTGAGCGCCCTGCAACCCAGTGAGTGAGTCAGCATGGACTTGAAGCAGGCTCTTCCTCATTGCGGAGCACAGCACTAATATTAGTTCACAGGGGGCACTTCCGTGGCACTCCCTGGTCCCACCTTCCCAGGAAGTAATAGTATGTTACTGGCAGCAGAGAGCCTTCAACAAGCCACCAGAGCCATCTTGAACCTCAGCTTGCAATTAACTTTATTTTGTGGCCATCACCTTGAGAGAGGAGAGGGCAGATTGTGGGACAACCTGCTCATAAGGCAAATGATGCAGCAAATGTCATTTTGACCCCAAAATTGTCCTAGGCATCAGGATTGGGCACAGAATCCCCTCCCACCAACCTGACTTTGGGGATGTCAGATGGGCACAGAATGAACCCTTCACCCACCTTAGGGCCCAGTTCTCACTGAGCAAGAACTCCCTTGCTGAGATCACAGGATAAGGCCAATCCAGGATGAAGACAACACGGACCTTTTACTTTAATGGACTGGAATGGGCATAGCTAACCATCTTGCACTCCAGGACAGGAGCTGTATGCCCTTCAGGACACAGGCTGGACTCAGTGACTCCTCCTGCTCACAACAGGGAGCTGGGGTTAGACACAGGGTACCCCCACGCCATCCCTGCTGGCAGTGCACAATGAAGGGGTAGCCCAGAGCTATGTGTGAGTGTGTCATTCTGGATGGTGGCCACTGAGGATCACACATCTTTTGTCACTATGGATAACTAAGTGAAAGCCAGATATCCAGAGTCCAGAAGCAGTGTAGGCTAGCATTATATTGTCTGCCCTCAAGTCTTTATTTATGCAGTACTAGGTATATATTGTATACAAAATAAAGGACAAGCCATTTTTTAAAATAAACCTTAAAACAGTCAAACCATTAGCACACACTGCAGAAAGCTGGATTAGGAGTGAATAACATTTTCCTCTGTACTGACCTGCTTCTGAAGAAAGAGCAAAGTACAACTGGCCTCATCACTAGGCACATTTTTTTTTTAGAGAAACAAGGATACACCTTTTAACACCACAGGAGTCTCAGAGGATCATCTACTTTCCATGAGAGGAGTAACAAGCTCCAGCCAATGTGCCACTGAGATCAGCTCTCATGTCTCCATACCTGCCTCATGCTCATTGTGCTGTCACTCACACCAGAGGGGCTGCTTTTACTATCCAGATCACTAGGCACATTTTTTTTTTAGAGAAACAAGGATACACCTTTTAACACCACAGGAGTCTCAGAGGATCATCTACTTTCCATGAGAGGAGTAACAAGCTCCAGCCAATGTGCCACTGAGATCAGCTCTCATGTCTCCATACCTGCCTCATGCTCATTGTGCTGTCACTCACACCAGAGGGGCTGCTTTTACTATCCAGACAATACAGTGAATAAAATAGAAACACTGGGCCTCGGCGAATCAGAGAGGTCATGAGACTTGCCAAAGGGGAGAGGAATAAGCAAGAATGTTTTTCCCATTATGTGCACAGACATGGGTGCTGACTGCAGGCCAGCCAATCATGTCCTTCTTTGTCAAAGCTAGAAGTCTCCACGGTTGTGTGTAAATACCCTGGTTATACACCTTTCAGTTGCCACTGGAACTGCAGGTTCCCCTGACCCGCATCAGTCTAAGGATATTTTCTTTCAGAACTCTGATCCAGGTGTATCAGACAGATGAGGTGGCATCAGATGCAAACCAACTCTTTCACCGAAATGGAGCACATGAGGCCTCCTAAGTCCCTCAGTGTGGATGGGGCTCTGGCAGAGGAGCGGAAAATGCCGCTGCAGCATTTCCAGTTTTTTTCTAGAAGCAAACAATAGTGTAGAGAAAACAAGACAGTGAATTCCCTTCCTTTGCAACATGTGACTGGCTCCAGGTGGCACACCAATCTTAGTGGCTGAGCAGACCACCACACCTGGGCCTGTTTGGAGAAGACAAAGTGGCCATGGGATGACAGAGCCCACAAGGTTCAGAGAAAGTCATTATTAATGAAACTACTTGGTTTTGCTTGGTAGCAGGTATTGCAGTATTATGGAATCTCTCACAGCAATGCATACTGGCTCCTGCCACGTGGCAAGCATAATTGCCAGAGGAACTCTGAACCGGGTCACGTCACTGCAGCCAAGACATAGAGTTACCATTTCTTTCCAGCATACCTCTATCTATCAGACCTTCATTACAGTTAACATAACTGTTTTCCTCTCTACGGGATCAAATGCTGGGCTGCAACAACCGGAGGGGTGTTTGGGTAGAAGTGCGGCTAGTAGGGAGAAAGAGCTAGATGTGATAAATGACATCTCAATAGAGTCTTAGGGCCTTCCAAAACAAATTAGACTGGAAAAGAGCAAGGAGAGGTAAAACCAAGCGAAGCAGATTTCAGCACTAAATGCCCCACATTTGCATGGAGTCACTTGGAGCAAGGTAATGACTTTTGATCACCTCAAATCTCCATCGTTGAACCTTTCCATCAGTCCTTCAATATAAACGGTGTGAGCTTTTACAATAAAAGTGGCCAGTCAGGGGGATTGCTGGAGATTTGCAGAGTAATTTTTGTGTGGGTCCCACCAGAGCTGGTCATGAGACGATTTCTGTTCCTCCAGGACAAATGCTTACTGTCTCTCTTTCATGTGGCTTGGAGATTTCGGCTGAGTGCGTGGCCGAGGCTGGGGAAGCTTTGCCTGATGTGGAGGATGAGGCTGTGGAGCGGGTCTCTGCTGCTGGCGTGGCTGCCTCTGGGGAGCATGAGCTGGAACTTGAGGAAGGTCCCGATATTTTAATTCATCACTCATTTTTTGATTTTGCATCGATCTCTCCTCTTCTGCAAAACACCAAGCAATTAGTTAATGACTCAGCATGTGCAAACAAACAGAAAATAATCTGTGCGGGTTGCAGAAGGAGTTTGCAGAGCAGCCTACACCTGTCTTAGTTTAACAAGTTGCTGAGCTCTTTCCAGGGTCCTGTTCCTCTAACAGGTACCAAAGGTTTACACTGCAGCAGGGTTTAGCATTAGCAGAAGTATCACACTGAAGCCTTTTAGTTATCCAGAGATTTTGAAAATAAAACCAGAAGGGCAACAGAAAAATTAAAAGATTCAAAAAGGAACGTGGTGTTGTTATTTCTGGTGAGTGACGGCCACCTAGGTAAAGAGGCTTTGACACTGGCAAGCATCGAATGCTTGAGTAGTTTGTAATGTAAGTAGTATGGTGTTGGGCCCCCTTCTTATTTCAATGAAATAATAAAAACTAGATTTGCCCTCTACTCCGTGACTACCTTGATGGCCCTGTCCGTAGGTGTCACAGTGCTTCTAGGGTATTTCAGTCAGTTCCATCCCCTCCTATTCTCAATGAGCCCACTCTGCTGGAAAGCTACCGCAGCTTACCAGCAAGCAGGATGTGTTTCAAAGATACTGATCTCATCCCTTATCTTTGGAGGGACATCAGGGGGCTCCATAAATGAAGTTTGTCCAGCCGCTGTCCATGCTGCCATTGTTCTGCAGGTAGACAGAAGACCCCGCACACAAGGGCCATCAATCTAATACCTTTTCCCCAGACTAAATGTTCTTCCCATGGATGAAAATAGACGAATGGTCTTTGGCCATTTTATTGCCATTTCTGAAAGACCAGTGGCCATATGTGATTTAACGTAGGGACTGAGTGACCCAGTGGCTCAGATACTGAACTGATCCTAAAGTCATATGGAACCATTCCAAAGAACCTAATGTTAACTAACACAAAGTTAAATGCACCTCAACACTCAATGAGGACAGGGACAAGTCAGATTAAATATTGTGTCAGTGGATCATGGGTAAATTTTTGGTTCCTGTAAGGTTATCCATGACAAAATATTGGCAAAATATTAAACACAGCAGTCCCTGTCTAATTGCTGGGGTACATAGTTATTTAAACATGGTCACTAAAACAAATTGTTTGCCAGAATCCAGGAGTCGACAATAGGGGAGGGATCACTAGATGATTACCTGTTCTTTTCATTGCCTCCCAAGCACCTGGCATTAGCCACTGTCACAAGACAGGATACTGGGCTAGATGGACCTTTGGGCTGACCCAGTATGGCTGTTCTTACATTCATGGCTCCTCAAGGTCATATTCTAACATGTCTTAGTTTTCTAGTGAAGACATGCCTAATAGGTCTGGAGTTTGGGTTTGGTTCAGATGAGCACCCAAAAGTGCAGTTGCTGAACTGTCCATACCTCTCAGGTCTGCAAAGTCAGACTAGAAATATTCCAAGGAATGGTTATGAGGAAATGTGTGGTCCTTCCGGTTGCTGGTCAAGCCAATTGCACCCTAAAAACATCTCATCATGAGGATGGAGAACCTAGCTAAACCCTGTTCACCCTAATGATATGACTTACCTGTCATGAGGATTTCATTGTTATTTATAGCCAATACTTCTGTTGTATTCTTTAATTTGATTTCTCTCATTGCAAATCTTTTCTTCTTTTTCTGTGACCATTAGCACAAACTCATAACCTAACTTTTCAAATTGGCTAGTGATTTCGCATATCTCTGTGTTTGGGATACCATACTGGGGCTTGATTTTAAGAGGATGAATAAATAATAATAATAAAAACCTCTCTCTTATGCTCTGTACTTTTGAAAATCTGGTCTCTTTAAAGTCTCTTGGGCTGCCTATCCAAAAAAATGGAACTCCCCAAATCATTCTCTAGGCATGCCTACATTTTCAAATGCAATAACTGATGCTGGTTAATAAGAGTGTATGTTCAGATTCTAAAGCATACAGTTAGATCAAGGATGTTCAAAATAATCATGGCTGCTTCTCTGAGACAAGCTTTTGGACAGTATGTTCTCCCCTAACTGGTAAATAATAGTCCTTAATAATGCTAAAATAGCATTGTCTTGTTAAATACACCCATCAAAAACCAAGATTAAAACAGACAAAGGAAGTGGAGAATTTCAGTGTGACAAAATTCACAAGTTTCAAGTACTTACCCTCTTCGTCGTATCTTTCTGCTCTCTTCTTCCTGATACAGTAAATCAGCAGTGCCAGAAAAATGACAAAGAACACTGCACCTCCAGCAATGCTCAGTATGAGAACAATGTCCAGTGACCCTAGCTCAGAGAGAAGACGGGGATGTCACAACGCAGTGTCTGAAATTTGGTCCCAATGATTTAGAGAATGTACAGATGTGACGCTTATGATATGAAAACCATGAAGTCCCAGCATCTTTAGTCCCAGCATCTCAAAGCATTTTCACAAACAATAAATTAAGACTCATAAACACCTCTCTTAGATAATGTTAAGTATTATTATCCCCATTTTACAGAGAGGGAAATTAAGACACAAAGTTAAAACATTAGCTCATGGTTACATAAAGCAGCGTTTCCCAAACTATGGGCCGCGGCCCGATACCGGGCCGCAGGAAAAAAATACCGGGCCTCAGCATGGCTGGTGGCTGCCAGCAGGGCCGGCGTTAGGCTGATTCGGCCCCATGCCCCTGAACCTGGAAGTGCCGGTGAGTTACAGAGCCGGGGGCTGGGTCTCTCCCCTGGCTCTGCCTGGCACGGGCACAGGTCCCCCGCGCCAGCTCCCCGCGCGCGTCCTCCCACCCTGCCCCCAGAGCATCCCCGCCGTGCACGGCTCCTCTTCACTGCCTGCTTCTGCCCATGTGCGGTGTTGCACGTGGGTGGGGAGGATGCCCGGGCGTGACGTGATGTCACGGCCCGGGATTTTAAAAGTCTTCGGAGGCACGTGGCAGGGGCACTCTGGTTCTGGCGGCCTCCGGCCCCGCAATGTGGAAGGCAGAAGGTAGGGAACGGGCTTGGGAGGAAGCGGCAGAGGCAGCGGTGATGGGCTTGCGCAGAAGGGGAGGAGTGGAAGGAGAAGGGGCTTGGGAGGGGAAGGCACCAAGGGCCAGGGTGCAGGAGACAGAGACAAATGCCAGGGGGGCAAGTGCAGACAACGAGGAAAAGGGCAGGAGGGGCGGTGTCAGTGGGAGGGGGGACGGTGATGCTGGGAGAGGAGAGGAGACGAGAGGAGAAGGGCATTGGGGGCTGGAGGAGGAGGTGCTGGGAGAAGGCTTGAAAGG